TTTTCAAGGTTTTTAATATGCATTACTTTGGTTATATCACAAAAATACTTTTACAGTATATATTTCTATTTTCATTTTATAGAGAAGGAAACTGAGATTCATAGAGATGAAGTTGTAATATATGTAATTTCTTTAGTAACAAAGATGAAGAAACATACTGAAGATGATTTTATAAACCACAAGTAACTACAGCATGGTCCCAGCCAGAGGTAGAGCTTTTGAGGGTAGCAGGGTTTTCTATGATAACAAAAACTCTGAATAGTATTACCTAACGCGCCACGCTCTGGAAACCGTGCTGGGGACAGAGGGACAAGGCCTGCGGGAAGCAGGCATGCGGTCTGGAGAGAAGGGGACCACGGTTTAACGGGAGGGGGTCATTTCCATGAGCGATCGGTGCTATCCAGGAAGTAGAATTAGGGGCTGGGATCATGGGCGAGACGCCTGGAAATGGGAGGGCACGGCGGGCTGGGGAAGCCCACGTAGTGGGAAGAGGGACAGCAAGATGGCATCTCTCGAAGTCGCCAACGCGACGCTTTAGAACTGACAGGGGTCCTAACCTTCCGGGCGTCCCGGACCCAGGTGGACACACCCACGGGGCGTGGGTAAGACGCAGTAGCCAGCACCCATCGTACTTCTAGGGGCCCGCGAAGATGTTTCGTTTCTTTTCAAATCAGAAACAAAAAGGAATAGTATCCAGCCTGGATTATATTCGTCTTTATAACAAGGCAGTGGTAAAATGTAATTTTTATTATTTTTTTAATGGAGGAGGGGGCCCATGAAATTATTAGTGCCTTTGTCTGGGCCCCTTTAGCCTGGAGAATAGAGGTGCCTCCTCTCAAAATACTGCTTGTGGGTGCAGAAACTAAATACAGGCGCTGACAAGGACATGGCGTGGAAAAGCATTTATTAAAATATTTTTTAAAAAACAAATTAGCGACCCATCGTTGGGCGAATGGATAAACAAAATGCCATGATGTTGTATCCATTCAGAGGACTAGGTATTGTTCAACCTTAAAAAGGAAGTTCTGACCCCTGCTACCACGTAGATGAAACTTGGGGACATTAGGCTCTGTGAAGTGAGCCAATCAGGACAAATGGACAAATGCTGTGTGATCCCACTCATGGGGGGTCCCCAGAGGAGTCAGATTCACAGAGACAGGAAGTAGACGGTGGAGCCAGGGGCTGGGGGAGGGGAGGGGAGTGAGCGTGTGATGGGGACAGAGGGTCAGTTCTGGAAGGTGAGAACGCTCTGGAGATGGACGGTGGGGACAGTGGGGACGGTGGCACAGCAACGTGCGTGTGCTTAATGCTGCTGAGCTGTGCGGGGGGTCCCCAGAGGAGTCAGATCCAAAGAGACAGGAAGTAGACGGTGGAGCCAGGGGCCGGGGGAGGGGAGGGGAGTGAGCGTGTGATGGGGACAAAGGGTCAGTTCTGGAAGGTGAGAACGCTCTGGAGATGGACGGTGGGGACAGTGGGGACGGTGGCACAGCAACGTGCGTGTGCTTAATGCTGCTGAGCTGTGCACTTAACAGTGGTTGAGATGTATTGTACCACCATTTAAAAAACTTTAAAAAAATACTTGTAAGGCAATCGCTTTAAAAATACTTTTGAAATAGAGCTATATTGAAACAACAGACATCTCTTAGGGATATATATACCTTTATCGCCATATGAACTAACAAGATCTAATAACCACAGCCATGTACTCGTGCTGAGTGTCAGCTCTACTCGGGGCCATCTGCAGCAACGTGATTTGATATGAAAATACCTGTGGTTTTCAACTGGAGATAAAGTCACAAGTCCTGCTGTTGCCTTCGTTCATAATTAAGGAAATGGTAAATACCGGTTAGAGTCACCGAAAAGGAAGATGTGCATTTCTTCCCATCAGTTAGTTCATGGGCACCCCGAATTCCATCATCGGGTCCCCCAAGAGGTTCATGGATCATAGGCCAAAGTTTGCTTAAAGGTTCACGGGAGGGAGATGCACCCTCCCCGCTCGGGGCTCTTACTTAATGCCTGTCTCCAGTGAGGGAGACATTTTATTGAGCACCTACTGTGTACCAGACATGTCTAGGATCTGGGGATACGTCAGGGAGCATGAAAGAAGTGGTCCCTGCCTTTGGGGACTCCAGGGCTGGAGGGGGAGAGGGCATTAAACCCACCATCCCATGCCTCTCTCCCCGCCTGCCTCACCATCAATGATTTTACGTGCCTGTCCCAATGCCAAACATCTGGGGGGGGGGGAGGCGGCTCTGATCTGTGTCTCAACCTTTCCAGGTAGGTTAGAACGTGTCCATTTTATAGGTGAAAAAACTGAGACACGGAGAAAAAGAACAGAATGGAGCATCCTGGCTTCCGTGGGAAACCCTGGGCTGCAGATGGATACATTTAACCACCTGCAGACAGGTGTGGTTGGCCCGCTCGCTTCTTCGACAAGACAAGGACAACCTTCCAGTTTAGGTCTATGATCCTATCCAACCTCTCGTCCTCCTGTGCCGGGGAGGACAGCTCTCCACGTGGGTGCCCATTTTTTTCAGTCCTGCACACGTGTACATGAATCCGTGAATGTGACATTTCGTATTCCTCAGTCTGGTTTGGCTTTTTTTCTGACATCCGCCAGAAGTCAGCCAACTTTTTTTCTGTAAAGGACCAGATAGTAAATATCGTTGTTACAACCACTCCGTGCTACAGTTGCAGCTTGAAAGGGGTCACAGGTGATACATCAAGAAATGATCACGGCTGTGTCGTGTCAGTAAAACTTTATTTACAAAACCAGGCGGCGGGCCGGACAATGGCTGTAGTCAGCCGACTTGACATGGATGGTGTATTTAGCTTTATTCTATCAATGTCTCTTAACATGTTTCTAATCCAATATATGTAACCCCATTTTTTTTCATTAAAAAGTATTGGGGGACATTAATAACCATTTTTTAAGCGGGTTATGTCTAAGCATGACTGTGTCACGACTTATTGAGTCCCCCGTCGTGGGATGTGCCGGCTGCTTCACTGTTCCCCCAAACAGGCGTCATTACCTGACAAGTCAGGAACACAGTACGGGGTGAGCGGAAGCCCGAGTGCTGGGTTTGAATCCTTACTCTGACACTTACCAGCTGTGAGGTGGGGCCGAGGGTGAGCCCTGTGAGTTGTGCCTCGGTTTCCCTTTGTGACGTGGAGATATCAGCATCTGCCCACAGGGTTTCTGTAGGGTAGCTCTCGAGAAGGGAAACTTCTGGGACTTCTCCCACGTGGAGAAGATGCATTCTCGCTCTTGCTAAATATTGGCCATCATTCTCCAGACCAGCGCTCCCTGTTTGCACTCCCACCAGAAGTGAACAAAGGGCTCACTTCCCCCGTCCACCACCGAATGTTACTTTCACTTCTAAAATTTGCATTTGAAGTATAATTCATAGGTGCTAAAGTGCATAAATCTTAAACGGACAGCTCAGTGGACTTTTGCAAAAGCACGTACTCTTCGTAGCCACCACCCAGATCATTTCCAGGCCCCAGGAGTCCCGCTGGCCCCTTCATTAGCCCCTGGCCGACTGCTATTCAGACTTCTCTCATGATAGTTTAGTTCCATCTGTCTCAAAACTTCATTGACGTTTCACTCGCGATCATGCCTGTGAGTTTCATCCACGTAATTACAAATACTGGTAATTTATCCTTGTTCCTTGTTACATAATATTCCACAGAGTGACTGCCCACTTCGCTTCTCTGGATGTGCACTTGGGTAGTGTTCCAGTTGGGGGCTGTTCCGAATAAAGCTGCCGTGAACATCTGCTCAGATTTAGCGTGGGTATGAACCCAATAACAGGGCTGCTGAGACACTGGGGAGTATCCCACGTGTTGCTTTTGCGAAAAGGCTTTGTAAATCCTTGCCCATTAGACTCGGAACCCCCCAGGAGAAAGCACGGAAGATCATTTCGGCTCTCTAGTGGGCCTGGGGGGTGAGCTCACTTCTGTGCCTCAGTTGGGAACGGACACCATGCTGGTCCAGCCCACCGTTCCAGCACTGAACATCTGCCGCCCCCAGCCCCAGCACTGCCACTGTCCTACGGCTAGAGACGTGCCCACATCCTTAGCCTCAGCAATGTACGTGTGGCTCATTGATGGTCTTTATAGCTACTGCAGCAAAACACATCACGGCTTTTAACTACTGGGAGAAATATTTGCGTCTAAGCAGTAAGATGGAACGGGAAGCACAGAACGGTGGTCTCGAGCAGAGGCTGGCCAACTTTTTCTGTGAAGGATTGGATGGTAAGTATTTTACGCTTTGTGGGCCACGGGCTGCACAAAAGAGAAGACTCTCCCTCTTTCCACCCCACCCTTTACGACAGGCGATTTCCCCAGAGCCGCTGACATTCTTCTTTTTATTAAGAAAAGTCTGCAATCTCATCCGTCGGAACAGGGACAAATGCAAAAAAAGCAGGATGGATGCTGCCATCTGTCACGGTACAGTCGACTTTATGAAGTAACGTGGAAAAATGCGTTCACAGCCAGTGAGTTCGTGCTAACTTGTTACGCGGCCATCGCTAACTATCCCGTTCCGCAGAGGGGGGCGATGATGGGCAGAGAGGGAGGCGGGTCAGCCAAGCTCCTCCAGGGAGTTGAGGGACATACAGAAAGACGAGGACCCCGACTCGCTTGCCGGGCCCTCGTGGGCTCCGGCGCCAGCCCGCCTGGGTCTGAGGCCCGGGGCTACCGCTTCCCGATCGGGAGGCTTTAGAGCGAATCATTTGATTTCTAGCTGCCTCAGTTCCCCCATCTGTAAAATGGGACGATCAGTAGCAACTACCCAGAGGCTTGAGACAAGGACGGGGCCTCCGTCTACCAAGTGCTCAGATTAGCACCTGACTCACCGCGATGGCCAGTTCCAGCCTCTGTATCGTTAGGCACGATATGTTCCCTGCCGTATCAACGGCCCCGTTTGGGGAAGCACAGTGGGCTCACTTGAAAGGCAGGAAAATGAGAGTTTGAGATACTAGCAAACTCGGTGGTCTCACCTGGCGGTGATTCTGCCCCCCGAGGATACTGGGGAACGTATGGGGACCTCTGTGGTTGTCACCACTGGGGAGGGAGTTCTCCAAGCATCGAGTGAATGGGGGCCAGGGATGCTGCTCGATACCCCCACGGTACCTAGGACACCCCTCCTCCCAGAGAACAACCTGGCCAAATGCCCATTGTGCCGAGGAGGACAGACCTGAGATGCCCTAAGTAGCAGGCTCTTCCAATGCACGACCCATGCACCCTTCGCACTATAAGACGCTGGAGCCAGATCTCAGATGGCGACACAGGGGCAGATGCAAAGGCCCCTGCCCGGGATCCCACACCGGGGCGTTGGCTGGTAGACTCACATCCCATCACCGAGCTGGAGTCCGGCGTCACTCGGCCAGCCCCGAGGAGCACAGGACACCTGGCCATCGGGGACATGCAATAACGGAATGGGCAGATTTGTGGCATCGCAGACGAGGCTGAGAGTAGGCAGCGCCCCTCCCTGGCTGCGAGCTTCTGTTTCTTCATTGGTAAAGTGGGGACACCTGACCTGCACTGCACGGCTGAGACGATTAGAAGGGGGGGTGTGTGAGCCAGCCCTGGCCCAGAGCAGCACCAAGAGGATTCGGCTTGAATGCGGCCGCCGCCGCCGTGACCGATGGCGCCAACTCAGGCGCCAAGAACGTGCACATGTGTCATCTCGCTGTTATGGAGGTCGGAAGTCTGAAGCGAGTCTCACCAGGCCAGTCAGGTGACAGCAGGGGCCTTCTGGAACCTTTAGGGGAAGATCTGTTTCCTGCCTTTTTCGGCTTCTAAAGGCACCTGTATCCTTGGCTGGTGGCCGAACCCTTTGTCTCCGACCCTCGCCCTCCAGCCTCTCTCTTCTGTAAAGACCCTTGTGATGACACCCGGCCCACCGGGGTGATCCAGGCTCGCCTCCCATCTGCAGATCCTTAACTGAATCCCATCTGTAAAGTCCCCTTAACCGTGGAAGGGCCGGGGGATTAGGATGTGGATATTTTGGGGGGCCAGCCTGTTATGCTGTTTCCCCCACACACACACCTAGGAAGTCCCACTACAGAAAAAGCAGCAGCCTTCCCTCTCCGGACACACAGCTATGACATGGCGCGGGGCAAGACGGGGCACACGGGCCGGGAGGGGATGAAAGGCCCTCGGGCCCCGCTCTCGTCCGCAACGCCCAGGACCAAATTCGAGGACCTGAGGCCCAGCAAGTGTGGCGAGCGCGTCGCCGACGACCAACACGGGGCCTCGTCCGAGGCGCTGCGTGCGAACTTCAAGTTCGTAGCAGGTCCAGCCCTGTCCTTTTCACATCCCTGCGAGCAGAGCAAGGGTGGGGCCGAGACAGCCACGAGGCGCCCCTGACGTGTTTGGCTGCTGGGAACACACACGCGTACACGGCCTGCGCTTCGCTGCAGGGGAAATTTATTAAGGCAACGCTGACGCTCCAGGCATGATGGCCTGCTGGGCAGGCCCAGCCCCTGCTGTCTACCCTGTCCCCAGAGGCCCGCTTCACAGACCGAAGTCCAAGTCCAGTAACTAAAGATCGATGTCTGGGGCTTTCCCGGCTTTCAAGAAAGAAAAACAAATTTTTTAGAACCTTCTAGAAAAAAAAATTTCCAGAAGCCTCGCACTAATGATCGATGAGGTGAGGCTCAGAACGTGCTTTCTCGAATGGGGGAGGGACTGGTCCGTCTGGAGGACCCCAGCTTCGTAAGGTGGTAGCTGAGAAGAGCTGAGGGACAAGGGGTCCAGTGCAGCTGCTGGTCCCCTGGGGAGGGACGGAGCCCCGAGCCCCCTTCCTGTCTCTCTACTTCTTCTCTTCTGGGGCCTTCTCAGTGATGCTGGGAGCAAAGGGTCCCACCAGCCACATGAGGGGTGTGTTCTGGGCCACATACTTGACCACGTGGTCAAGGGCCTCCTGGGCCCTAGTGACCTGCTCGCGGCTCTGCGTCACGATGCTGCTGGACAGGTCCTGGAAGGAGTGGATGCCGGCGAAGGTGGCCTGGAGGTCTTCCACCTGGCGGTGAGCCTGCTGTGCCTGGTCCTTCACGTAGGTGGGCAACCCCTGGATGCTGGAGCCCAGCGAGGCGCAGGTGGCCTGCAGCTGCTGGGCAATGTCACGGAACATGGCGAGCGTCTGGGACTCGACCTGCGGAGAAGGGACAGTGGGGAGGGGGTGACGAGGACCACTGCTTTGGGGGAAACCAGATCCAAAGCTGGGAAAAAGGAAGTAGGGTTCTCCCGCCGACCTTCAGAAACCCTCCCACAGGGGGAGGCCGCCCAGCACGATGGCTTGGAACACTGGCTCTCTGAGTACTGAGCTGTGAGGAGTACACCAATCAGACCGAAAAAAAAAAAAGGGCACAGACATGTCTCCAAGGAAGACGTGCAGACGGCCAAGAGGCACGTGAAAAGACGTTCGGCTTCATTAGCCACCGGGGAAATGCCGCTCACACCCACGAGAGCCACGGCCCAGAGGGGTTAAGCTAAGCAGCTCTAATGGTAGAGTAGGCAGACCGAGACTGGGGGCATCCTACACACGAGGCGTGAGGTTGTGTGGGGTGTTGATGCCCTGAGAGCTGAGACACGAGCGACGCTACAGAGCGGGGTGCAGGGGGGATGCCTGGGGCAGGCTGGAGGGGCCGGGGAACGCCAGAAACCGCTACAACCAGGTGGGTACACGAAGGGTGTGATGGGGACACCGGGGTGGGGTAGAGGCAGTTTTAAGAGTTTTAAGACTCGAGGTGACTTCGGACACAGCTTAGAATTTAGCAGGTTGGGACACGTCACTCTCAAGTACCCCAGGTTCAGAGGCGACACCCATACCCACTAGGCAGGCTTCCTGGAGGAGGCGTCAGCGAGTCTCGAAGGCAGTTAATGGGCAGCGAGGTTAGGGGAAGCGTGCCCGGCAGGTTGGTCGGTGCATCGAGCAGAGGTGTGGAGGAGGAAGCCAGGACCCTGGCACCCCACGCTCCCCTCCCCCACCATGGCTACCTCTGGCTTCCCGGGGTCCCCCTCCGTGCCCTGGAGCTGCTTCTGGTTCCAGCTGAGCCACATCTGGTGTAGTTTCTCCTGGCCCTCCACCAGCTTCTGATCAACTCCCTGCTTGACGGTTTCCATCTGAAGCAAGAGAGACAGACAGAGGCCGCCTCGGTGCTGGGCCAGCAGAGCCCCTGCCTACCCCCAAGCATCCCGGGGAGCAGACTCCCCCAAGCATCCCAGGGATTGGGCTCCAGGGGCCTGGGAGTCCTCCTTTTATCTGAGATAAGGGGCGGGAAGGAGAGGGGGGTGCTGTTTTCAAACACCATTTTGTCGTGGTTTCTGTGGCCAAGAAGCGGCCACAAACTTTCTGCAGCTCGGCCCATTTAGTTTGCTTCTCTCCCTCCCCTTACAAACTGGGCCTGGCCACGTGCCTGGCTGTGGCCAATGAACAGAAGCAGACAGAACAGCAGCAGAGGCTTAAAGAGGTTTGCGAGAGAATGTTATTCAGCCTTGAAAAGGAAGGACATTCTGGCACCCGCTACAGTGTAGACGAATCCTAGAACATGATGCTCAGTGAAATAAGCCAGGTACAGAAGGAAAACACTGTGTGATCCCCACTCACAGGAGGTCCCCAGGGGAGTCAGATCCTTAGAGACAGGAAGTAGATGGTGGGGGCGAGGGGAGGGGAGGGGAGGGGAGTGACTGTTTGATGGGGACAGAGGGTCAGTTTGGGATGATGAGAAAGTTCTAGAGATGATGGTGGGGATGGTGGCACAGCAACGTGCGTGTGCTTAGTGTCACCGAGCTGTGCTTACAAACGGTGAAGGCGGTAAATTCTGTTATGTGTAGTTTACCACATTAAATATTTGTTTAAAAAAAGAAAGGAGATATACTTAGCAGAGAGAGAGAAAATAATAAGAATTTAGCTCTTTAAAGAACAGAAAAATAAAATCCTGGGGCGGGGGGATTTGACCGCAAAGAGGCAGGGGGAACTTTTTGGGGTGATGGAAATATTCCAAATCTCGATTTTTGTGGTAGTGATATAATATGCATTTATAGTTATAAAACTCTTCAAATGATGCCCTTAAAAAAGAGTGATTTTTATTGTATGTAAATTACCTCGATGAAACTGACTTTAAGCAAAAGAAAGAAAGAAAACGTGGTCAGACTAAGTTCAGGGGAAGAGCCTGAGCTAGCCTGCTGCAGGAGGAGCCCGCACGGGGCTCAGCCCCCAGCCAACCTGTCATGGGCTGAGGTGTACCCCAGGACCTCAGGATGTAACATGTTTGGTGATCAAGTCGTTAAAGAGGCAAGCAAGATAAAATGAGGTCACTGGGGTGGGCCTTAATCCAGTATGACCGGGGTCCTCATAAGGAGATGGGACACAGACACGCACAGAGGCACGACCCCGTGAGAGCACCGGGAGAAGGTGGCATCTACCCACTAACGAGACGGGCCTCGGGGGGAACCAACCCTGCCCACACCTTCATCTCGGACTTCCAGCCACCCAGACTGTGGGACTTGGTATGGCGGCCCCTTGCAAACTCATTCAGCCCCCGCAGCCCACGAGCCAGCCCCGGCGGACATGCAGAATGGTGAGCGACCAGCCGCTAGGTTTGGGGAGGATTCGGGAGAGCGCGTGCCCCCCCGCCCCCCGCCAGGCCTCACCAGGCTGAGCGCCTGCTCCAGCTGCAGCAAGGCATCCCGGGCCCTCTGCCTGGTGCGCTGCAGTTTGCCCAGCGAGTGCTCGTAGGCCCGCTGGCGCAGCCGCCCGGACAGGGAGCCCAGACGCACGAAGTAGCTCTGCTCCTGCTGCTGCTGCCGCACCGAGGCGATGTCGAAGCCCTCCACGGAGGTGGCGACGTGGGCTGCGGGGGGTAGGGTGGGGGCGATGCGGGGAAGCATGGTGAAGGCCGGGACGCAGGCCGAGCTCGCCGCTCGGGCTGCCTCGCGGCCTGCTGCAGCGTGTGGCATTGATGGCCCAGGTTTCTGTGGCTCCGGCGCTCGCAAGCTTCGAGGCTTCGCATCGAGTGGAGGGTTCCCTGCCTCGGCTTCCCCATCTGCACAGTGGCTATGATGGGAACCAAACTTCCCAGGAGTAACGGCCTTCAGATGAGCAGGAGGGTCTGCGGACCACAGCCTGCGCGGCCCGCCCGGCCTGCTTCCAGTTTGGTATGAGCTGACACTACAGCCGTGCGCACCCATTACGTGTTGTCTTGGGCTGCTTTCAAAGTGCAGTCGTGGAGTACGTGGCCTCTCGGTCCCTGGAGACTAAAATACTTATAATCTGGTCCTTTACAGAAAAAAACACAGGCCGACCCCGTGTTGGCGCCTGGCACGTAGCAATAGCGGCCAATCTTTCACGATGTTCTAGGTGCTGCACTCACACTCCTATTAACTGTCTTAATAGAAGTTAGGTTAGCACCACCTCGTCCAGAAAGTGCTCATGAAGCTACAAGACCACAGGATGGAAGACTCCCTACCCTGATCGTTCGGCCTTCTGCTCTGAAACCTTCATGGAGTGGTTGTAAGTTTGAGCTTTCTAAGTAACCTGAGCTGCGTTCGAATCCAGACTCACGGGCTTCGTGATGCTCCGTAGTGGGGGCCGCACACTACGGCCCGCGGGCCGAACGCCACTTGCCTTTATAAATAAAGTTTTACGGGCACGCAGTCACACCCATTCATGTACCTGCTGCCTATGCTTTTATGCTACGATGGCAGAGCTGAGAAGTCACAACGGAGACCGTAAGGCCCAAAAAGCCAAAACTATTTACCACCTGCCCGTTAACAAAATGTTTGCTACCCCCTGCCTGGTCTATCCAGAAGCGGTTTTGCCAGTAAGCCTCAGTTTCCCCTTCTCTACGACCGCTAAGTCAGAGCTGCCTGAAGTGTGAAAGGTGGACTACCCTGTCCTCAAAAAAAGGCACACAAATGAATGTTGAGCTATTTTTATTATCTACAGCAGACGATGCGGCTTTTTATTTATATTTATAGTGAGACAGTTTCCTTTCTAAAAGAATCTGGCAAAGTTGATTTAAAGAAGGCTATCAAACAAACAGTCCAGGGAATGTAAACGCAAGACCAAGATAACGTGAGAGTGAGAGAGACGCTCTGGTCAGACGTGAACGGCAGAGCTGTTCTGACGATTAAGTGAAATCTCCATTTTAGCCACATATTTGCGCATCGCCTAGGGGTCAGGAACTGTTCCGGAAACTAGAGACAGTGGAAAATAAAGCGGTCAAATTCCACGGGCAGCTGTTGACCCACTGCGCAATCAAGGTAAGCCTCCAGTTGGGAAGTCAGCTGTCTCTGTAAACACGATCAAAGTCTGGAAAAACACTGTACCCAGGGACGGCAAGTCCCCCACAGGGACAGAGTTGGCATTTTGGGGCTTCGAAGGCAGTACTTCGCCTCGATTCTCAGCTCTACCACTGCCCTGCAGAAGCAGCCTTAGGCAAAATGTAAATGATGGGTATGGCTGTGTGCCAATAAAACTTTATTTACAAAAGCGGGTAGCGCTCCAGTCGGCTAGGGAAGAGACGTCATGGAAGAATCATTTCATGCTGACATTTAAAAAACTGAACAAAAAACAAAGACATGGGACACTTTGTGGCAGCAAAATAAAACCCTGCATTTTTAGCAAAACAGATTCTTCCTATTCTCCCACCAAAGGCGGGTTTGCAAAGACTAACCCCAAACCAGCAGCGCTCTGAAACCACCCTGCCGATGTCCGGGACATCCCCCAGCCTTCCGGGAATCCCAGAGCTCTGCCCTTAGAAGTGAAAGCATCTTTGTAATCTAGGCCAAGGACATCTGGCAGAGTCCTGGCGTGTCTGGGCAAGCAGGCAGGGCCCCGTGGAGAGGGCAGATCCCTCGGCAAAGGGAAGTACCTGGAGGGGCGGGTAGACGGCTGTTCCCAGGGCCCAAGGCAAGCAGCACATCTAGTTTTCACACGCAGCAGCTCATATCTTCACCTGCACTCCGCCCAGTGCCTTAAGCATGGGTGTGCACGCTGATTCTCATCCACAGGGGGTGGATGTAGAAAACCAGAGCTGCCCAGACGCTGCTGTGACCCCAAGGCCTGGCCCCAAGACCTTCCTCCCTGCAGACCCTGCCCCTCCTGCCCTCGGGGCCTGGGACCCCGCACTGAGCCTTACTCAGGCTGAGTGCCTACTGTGGACCAGGAGGCACTGAA